GGAAATTCCGGCCTGGGGGTCTGTGGGAGGCGTATCCCGTCAAAATATCGAAAACACACATTTCGCCAGTCCGATTGTCGATTACCAACTATGTCGAATTCCTGAACGTCGAATGAATGAAATGGTGAAAGTCAAAATGTCGAATGAAAGAAAAGTCAAATTTGACTTTTATTTATTCCGTCATTGAAGTCTTAAGAACATCTACCTTTCTGGAAATGTACGTATCTCATGGCGGTCTTGATTACGGCTCCAATTCGACTGACACATTTGTGTGGAAGTGTGCTTCTTACTGATGTAATCATCTCCACCAACGCTGACTGATGCAGACAGATGATAGGTCGACAAGGCGGTTCCATGTCACTTCTTCCCCGTCACTTCTTCGACTGGACATTGCGAAGAAATGTCCAAGCCTTTCAAAGAATTGTCCAGCCGAAGAAGTGGAGGAGAAATGTCCGTCGAAGAAGTAACACGAAACCGATGAGGCAGTCTTTGCTGCCTCAAGGGAGCAAAGAAGAAACAAGAAATCTCCTTTTCCTGATTATATCAGGCTCAAGGAACGGAAACGAATAACCGGATTACGACATTTTGAAGATTCGAAGTTTTTCCACTTTTTTGACGCCTTCGGTATTGTAACAATCAACATTATGCCCATTCGACCATTGTCCATTCGACATTATGTGCCATTTGACGTTTTTGTTAGTCGACATAAAATCCGACGACATTGTGCCTTTCGACATTATGTTATGGAACCGTGGTAGGATCCTTCTATTGATACTTTCCACAATAAGCTACTCGACCTATTTCCTCTACTCGTAGGATTCGGAAAGCTTCTTGTAAGGCGTGCCTGGCCTCCTGTGAGAGGCTATATACCCTTGCACTTCCCATGCGATTCCGCTACTGGATGCCTTCGCATCCGGAAGGGATGCGGCTTGGGATATTCTCAGCTCTTAGGGGTAATAGTGTTCTCGCGTTAGGTGCTCTGGGAAGGTATGTCCCTTTATCTCTTTCAGATGAAGGAGCAATAGGGGACCAAATAATGCATAATGCAGTTTATGAGGATTTTTTCCCTATATATTTTCACCGTTGCGAAAAGTCGGCTTATTGTTGGGGCATGTGCGGTTTCCCAACAACGGGCCCAAATTGGCCCGATGATGGGCCAACAGGACATGTTCGACCTTAAGCCAGCCTAAACCAACCATATGCCAGTGATGGCCTATATTACGCGTCGACGAAAAGTCACCGATGGCCCGATGAAGAATGTTTGACTGGGATTGAGTGGTCACAAAGGGTTTTAAGTGACACCTTCTGTAAAGGTGCTACGTGAAACATTCGTAGGTGGTTCTCTATAGAACCATTAAATGGTTCGAGGAAAGTTTCACTCTAGAACCAATAAACAGTTCTAGGGAGAACCATTATTTTTTACTGTGTACTGAGAGTCCCAGATGAGCTCGTCTTCGAGGAAATCCAAAATGTGGTCCCTTAGGACTCAAGGCCCTCATTCTCTTTCGAGCCCTCGCCGAGGCAGCTACAGTACGTCTGGTTTTCGCTGTTTTTTGTCTCTGACTGCGCTGCAGACCCGAGGCTATATCTCTGATTCTCATTTCTGTTTAGGCCTTTCTTTTCCTTTCTTCGTAGCTTTTCCTTCGTCGTGTTGACATTCTACTCGACTGCTCTCTTTTACACATCAGCTTCATCTTTTGAAAGCAAAATAAAAATGGGTAAGAGCAGCGGACAATCCTACATTGTACCCGCCTGTAGAAATACATGGAGAAATTCACGTCATCATGATCCGCCCACCACCTTCCACCTAGTACCACGGGATGATGTAGCCAAGGAGAAATGGTTATCAGCTTGTGGCCGAATGGACCTGCAGGATAGGACAAGGAGCTTTGTTTGCTCCAATCACTTTCTTCCTAGTGACTATGAAGGGGGGCATAAGAACAAGCTTCTAAAAAAATCGTCTGTTCCACTTTGTCTTGATGAACCTCCACACCTTGATCAAGATCAAGTGCAAATTGAGGTATCAATGAGACAGAGTGAGGAGATATCTGAAACGACAAATCTCTCAATTCCATCGAAATTTTGCCCTGAAATCAGAGAGAAATTGAAATTGAAAATCAGGATTCTATCAGGTCTGAAAGTAAAATGACAGAGTCAGGTCAGAAACTCTAAAACTCAAGAAGGATGTGAAATGTCTGAAGAAAAAACTTGCTGAGTTCTCCAAACCACGAATAAAAGAAAGAACTCGTGCAAAATTGTTGGAAGGACATTTTTCTTCAGCACAATTACATGTTCTCAAGGGAAGAAAGAGGCCAAAACAGTGGGGTCATGGCGAATTGGTGATGACTTTGTGTCTCAGGGCTCTCTCCCCCAAAGCATTCATGTACGTTCGAGAACAACTGAAAATTCCACTCCTTGGTCTATCAACCTTGGCCAAGTGGTTCGGAAAATGAAACGAAAATTGACTCCAAACTCAGTTATGACTCATCATGTGATACATTATATGGTCCATGCAATCAAATGATGGTTGCAATGGTACGGGGATTGTTTTCATGTTGGAAACAACTTATATTTTATGACTTTGACGCCAAGATGAACAAAGGGTTGTGGGTTCCAATAGTTGAAGCGGTACATGTTCGGCATGTACGGCTTTCACGTTGTCGCCAATGTCTGTGATATGGGAGGCCAAAACATGTCATTGTGGAAGCAACTCCGCATTACACATGAGGAGAGCTATAGCTGGCACCACTGTGATCCAGCTCAGCCCGTTTTTTTCTTTGCGGATGTCCTCACCTTGTGAAACTGATTCGTAATCATCTGATTGACCAGGGATTTCAACTCGGCGAAATACTAATTATTAATATATATCAATACTAAGAAACCCTTGCAGGAGTTGATTTCTCTAAACAAGGGAGATGTCAGATTGTGTCATAAAATTTCTGAAAGGCATCTGAATCTGTCTAATATCGAGAAACAGAGATTACGACCTGCAATCCAGTTACCATCGCACACTGTAGCCCAAGGACTGAGACATTGTGTTTCACAGTCTGATGCCCTGGCGGACTTCATTGACACAGTCAATGGTTACTTCGATATTTTCAACAGCAGATGTCCAATGGAAGATCTACCTGAGAAGTCTGGATACGGCCACAAGCTGAATGCCCAGGATGCAGCTCTGGAGAGAATGACCACACTACGTCAAAGCATGTGAGTTCGCGGCGCAAAGAACTACTTGCCTTTTCAAAGGGGGATCTTGATTTCAACCACTTCCCTGCGTGGTCTTTTCCACTTTGTACGAGATCAGTACCGAGCAACATACATCTTGACATGTCGGTTAAATCAGGATTGTCTGGAGAATTTCTTTAGTCTAATTAGAGCTCTCGGGGGGACATATGTGAATCCCTCTCCAGTTTCCGCAAGACATTGCTTTCGGTCACTGCTCCTCACTTACGGAAAGAACATCATGAGAATTGAAGGGGCTTCTGTTGCTGAGGTGAAAGATGGCACTTTTTTAAAATCCTAGTTCTTCCCACAGAGGTGAATCAGCTTTTACTTCTCCGGCAAATGATTAGCCAGAAAATTTGCCGGTCATTTCCTATAATTTCCCTGATGAATCGCCATCATTCCCAAACGAATTTCTTGGATGCAGAAATGAGTCAGAGCTTCCTGAATTCATTGAGCCTGGAGACCTAGATCAAGTCACTAACATTTGCTGTTTCCATGAAGCTGGCAATGACAGTCATGACAGTAATGATGCACTACAAAAAAATTGCAGGCTTCATCGCTTTTAAATTAGAGTACCTGTCCAGATCTGAGCTACGGAAATGAAGCGGCTCCTTGCAGTTGGTTGGAAAAGATTGATAGAGGTGGCTTGATTAAGCCTAGCACGTCTTGGCTATAAAGTGTAAGGAAATTGGAAAGGGATTTTCAAACTCGGCATGGGGGCCTTTTGATTTCAGACTTAGTTTTCCATTTGAAAGGTAAGTATTCAGACATTCCACAGGAAGCATTAATGCTCTTCGTCCGCACCCGGACTTTCTTCCGCATAAAAAGACTGAATGCCGAACACGAAGCCAAAATGGGAAGGAGGAAATGGGCAAAGCTGAAAATATTGCAAGGCTAGAATTCCCCATTTTGCAAAATCACCTATCCTTCTCCTGCTGCCTCTTGCTTTTCGCGTTTCTTTCCTTTTCTGACAGTCCTGATTTTCCTGATGTTATTTGACTCTCCTAAAGCCGTATGCGTGGTAGGAGAGCGGCAACTGTACATTCTACGATATATAGGCAAACGTGCAACGCATTGACTAAAAGGGATGGGATGCAATCCTACCCAGGTAGCCAACCATGAATGGGCCAGGTAAGGCAAATGCTTGGCAAAATGATTTGGGCCAAGTGTGGAAGCCAGATCAAGGCCATACAAGAAATGTCACAATGGTCGAGCCTCGGCCAGATCCTCGGGCCTAGTAAGATCCAACACTTGGGCAGAATCCGGCCCATTTGTCAATACATTCCCGGGGCCAAGTGTGGCAGCCAGATTTGGGCCTTACAAAAAATGTCACAAGGGTCGGTCTCTAGCCATATCCCTGGGCCTAGTAATGTCCAATACTTGCATCTAATGTGGTCTATTTGTAAATCCATGGACTGACTTCCAAAAGGGACCAACACCAGAATGGCGGAAGAGATGCTGTACATCGCATGAAATTACTCTACGAATAGATTGTGATATCGGTCTTAGCTGAGAGAGTTGAGGTATGAGTGTGCAATACTAATTTGTAGATATTATGGTTAGGGTTATGTGGGCATCCTGAAGCAGCCATGAGATGTGCCTCGCCCACGCCCCTGCTTCTGCTATCAGTGACGCACTCTATGGCAGTGCTTCGCAACCTGTGTGCCGCAACAAAGTCCCTGATGTGCCGTGGTATTTTCGGAATGATAGGAAATGTAAGACCATCACTGTGTTACACTATTAACAATTATACACATCGACATTGTGAAATTTGGTTAAGTATGCCACGAGTATCGAGCAAACTCGAAAGTGTACCTTGAAATAATAAATATAAATAAAGTTTGAGAAGAACTGCTCTATGTCCATTTTGAAACCAGCCTTAGTCATTCCAGTGAGACCCATCATGTTGGCATGGTTAGTGGACCCCTGTGATTAAGATAGTTGACCCCCCCAGTTAAGTGTCAAAGGCAAATGAGTGGGAAAGTCAACCTATTTTGGAGAATGAATGCCAATTGTTTATTTCTCTCCCTCAGAAACATGAAAGAAAAACATTAATGCCCTCCGGGTTAACCTACATAATAGGTGCCATGAAATGGGTTTCAAATAGGAGAGAAGGGTCATGGCCTCAATAGAAGCAATAAGTGCATGACAACGAGGGTCATAGGCAAAGCCCATATTAACTTGATGAGACCAGAGTAAAAGGTGCTCTAGCACCTTTGAGGGAACTCATTAGGAGATCCTGTATACTGATGTGGACTCTTCTACAATGAAGTCCCAGCACCCATCAGTTGCTAAGAACTTTTAACTTTGACCTGAAATACAGAAAATTGTAGTTTTTGAAATTATTGACCTTACCCATACCAAAATACCACCTCACATGACCTACCATTCTAGAACATCTTCTCTGGTCTCTTCTTCAACCTTAACCTTCATGCACAAATTGGATCAGGGTCATGGAAAATAATTTTTTTTCATTTTTGAAATCTACCTATGAAACCAGATCACATTAGGGAGATCATGGCCATTAGATTTTGAGCATTCTTATATTATTATATTTGGAGAATTAAAAGAAAATTTAAAAGAAAATACAATGAACTGGCTGCTAGGCTATGTCAAAAGACATGAAGGCCCTGAAAATTTGAGCAATAACTGATCTATGGCTGACCAATATGATACCGTCTAGCTCGTCCACCATCCCTATCTGCAGCTCCATAGAACCATGCCATTGCACATTTTTTAAATTTCCTTCTCAGTGGCATTCTGATGGTGGGGAGTCAGTCGCACAGCACCTGCAAATAGAATTCAGTTTAATTGCTCTATTTTCATGGTCTCACATCAGGCAAAAATTATTTAAAACTGCTTCATCAAAGAGTGATATAATTTAAAATCATTTCTGTCTCTTACTCTTCAAAAATTTTCCCAAGTGCACACATACATTTTAGGTGATATGAAGTCTAAAAGAATTTAGATTACAGATCTGCACATGAGAGTTAACATCATCAAGAAAAATTATAATGTAGGATTACCCATCAGAATCTCCTTCATTTTGAGAGCACTAAAGCTCCTCTTCCCCTTCATACCATCTTGATCATGTGAAATTTTCCTGTCCAGTTGTATTCCAGAGCCATATTTGTAGTGAGAAGTTTCCTCATAATATTCCTCGTTGCCTCTGCAACAGTACCTCCTCCCACCTGAGAGAGCAAGTGGATCTGCAATGTAAGCAATGAAGTTTATAATAAGCTATCATGCATGCAAATGATTTATGACTGGGAAGAGCAAGGTAAAATCTCCCCCATGGTCAGTTTGAGATCAATTTCATCATTAGCATATTTCCAGGAATCATTTTCAACTGTATTCAATTTTCTCCTGTGGTGTATTTTGCAGGGAGCATGGACTGAGTCTTCTGAATATGCTAGAGTTTCAACTTTCTCAAATCCATAGATGGACATGCATTTGTCACAGTTCCATGAAGTAATGGAAACCTAGATTTGAAGTATTAAGAGCTAACTATCAAGACTAGAATATCTTTAAAAAAATACTTGTAGGCCTCTCTCATATTGTCAACAGTATTAAAAAGTATAGGAATGAGGCAATCCTCTGTTAGAGGATGAAATATGTATAGCACACCAGTCTTTGAGACTTGTCTTCATTATTTTGGACATAGATCTCAAATTGATCTATGTCTGCTTGTGTTTTCAGTGGAAGGGGTGGCAAACCATCCAGATCATTAAGAGCATCATTTCCTGTGGCTTGGTGTTGTAGCTGCAGCTTCTGTTGAAGTGTAACGGGCACGAGGCGCAGTGGGTTGGATTTCTGAAAATATCAACGATTAAGTTCAAATAGAAACTTTACCTTAACGCGCCCCGATTCCACTACAATGAATCCCCTTCCAGGAAATCAGGTCCGTGCCAATTCAAATTCGAGTGGGAGTAACTAAGGCGTAATTCAAGACAACACACAATCGAGGAGCGTTTGGTGGCCGCTGTGTGGGTCCATGAGCGTCAAATTAACGGCACATCAATAGTAAATGTCATGGACGACTTCGTTGCGCGGTTTGAGAAGGCACCACCGACAAAGAAGACGTTGTTGCAATGGGAAAAGAAGGCTTTTGCAACGGGCAGTGCTCGCGACGCGCCGAGAAGTGGACGACCATCCACAAGGCTTGAACGTTGTGCAGATGTGGCAGAATCTGTCCAACGATCCCCGGTTAAATCCACGCGAAAACGTGCTGCTGAGTTGGGAATACCAGAATCAACCATGCGAAAACACATGAAATTGGACCTGCAAGTGAAATGTTGGCGTCCATTGAAAGTTAATGAATTAACAGATGCTGATATGGACAGACGTGTGGACGCTTGTGCTCTGATGCTGAACCAGAATCAACCATGCGAAAACACATGAAATAGGACCTGCAAGTGAAATGTTGGCGTCCATTGAAAGTTAATGAATTAACAGATGCTGATATGGACAGACGTGTGGACGCTTGTGCTCTGATGCTGCAACAATTTCCAACAATGGCTCAGCAGGCAAAGGTCATGTTTTCAGATGAATGCGCGATTTATCGCAGCTCCCGCAGTCGCAATGTCTTTTTCTGGGGAAAAGAAAATCTTCATTTCTTTGAAGAAATTGAGCGCAATCCACCTCATGTCATGATCTGGGCCGGAATGACAGCAACGCATCTGTTTGGTCCGTATTTTTTTACTGGTTCTGTTGATCACGTCAGTTATCTCCAAATGATCAACGACTGGCTCATCCCACAACTGCGAGACGCGGGAATCCTGAACAGTGTTTTGTTTCAACACGATGGGGCGCCGGCCCACTTCGCATTGGCTGTTCGACACCGTCTGAACGCAGTCTTTGGGAATCGCTGGATCGGACGAGGATCGGACAATTCAACGCGGGAATCCTGAACAGTGTTTGGTTTCAACACGATGGGGCGCCGGCCCACTTCGAATTGGCTGTTCGACACCGTCTGAATACAGTCTTTGGGAATCGCTGGATCGGACAATTCTCCAGCTCCTCTTCCGTGGCCTCCAAGAAGCCCTGATCTGACAACACCGGATAACGCACTCTGGGGTTTCATCAAGGAGGAGTGCGGAAGCGCCGTTATTAAACAAACGATCAACTCAAAAATGCGGTGCGCGCAGCCTTTCAGAAAGTGACCCCAAGAATGCTGATTAACATGAACAGAACTTGGCGGCGCATTCGGCTATGCAAAGACCACGGAGGAACACATACGGATGTTTTGGATTCCTAAGAGGTACGTTCCACCTTTTGTGATACGTATATATAGGGCAGGGGTGTCAAACATACGGCCCGCGGGCCGGATCCGGCCCGCGGAGGTGGTTCATCCGGCCCGCCGTCTGTTCTTGAAATTTCCGAATGGATTGAGTGATAGCACAAATTCCGGTGAAAAATTATGGGTGCGGCCCGTTGGCATCTGCAGGGTATGGAATGCGGCCCTCCGACCGATTTGAGTTTGACACCCCTGATATAGGGGTATACGGACTTTGTGCGCACTCTGTAGAACTTATTGACTCTCGATCAGAAAGATCTTCCTGGCTTCTTCATCTATCTCTTTTCTGATATGTCTGTACTTTTGCCTTACTCCCATATTCTTCTCTGCAGGACATGCAGGTCCTGGCCAAGACTCATCATCCTGTTCTGTATTCATCTATGTCATTGTTCTAACAAAGCTCAATTATGAATTTCATCAGTGCTCATGAACTTAGGCCTTACGGATGGAGAAGCTATTCCCTCTGGTCAGCATATAAGGCTAAGCCAACATGTCTTATATCAAGAGTTAGTCTATCAATTTGTATATTATGCTTAACCCTACCTCACTTAAAGCTGACTTATACCATTTGGAACATAAAGTCAACCAAATTTGAATCTCAATGCAGATAGGACTATTATACATTACCTTTGCATTTGAGAGGATAATTGTAAATATTCATCACCTTGTGAGAGAGAGAATCAAGCCAAAAGCTCTTTGCACCACTCACTGTCAAAAAATCGTGAATTAAATGTTCCAAATTAAAAGGTTATGCACTGGATACCACTTTTCAAAGGTTTGAAAACTCTTGTAGCTTTGATAGTATGAAACCTGTGGTAAAAGCTCTACCAATGTCTTAAGTCCCATCATTTATTTACATTTTAATTATTTTTCATATTTTTTTACTTTATTTTCTATCCTCTGTACACATCCATGGATTTGTTTCATTTTCCCACTTTCCCAAATACATGTGATCCTTCTCACTTCCCTATGTATGTGTTTTATTCATACCTTTTCCCTTATGCACATATTTGTTCTTACCACTTCCCAATGTGTTGTTGTCTTCCTCTCTCTCTATATGTCTTCTGCTTCCCTCTTCCTGATGTGAGTTTGGTACACACAGAACAACTGTATTATCAATTGAGACGCTGAATATTAATGTAACTTGGACAATAAACTATACACATCAATAGGTCCTGGCGATAAGTCCAAGTCGAGTGAAGCCAATGCAGCCAACTTGTAAGCCTTGCAGCCTGTTAACAGGTTTGGGTTATCTTGACACAGTGCTTAATTTCTTGGGAAAAAAATTAGAAAAACGTAGTTCACTATACGTATGCCAAGACACGGTGGTATGGAGGACTCGCCTTTCCCTTGTTTCCCCTTCAATACCTGATTTAAATCGTTATCTGTATCCTAGACGCAATTGTCAGATTGTCGTACAGTATATTTTGAATTCATTTGAGTTCATGTTGTGCAACGTCAAGAAGTTGGAGCTGAAATCCAGAGAGCTCTGGTTCAAAGTAAGCACTTTACCTCTGGAAGAACTATCTGAGGAATAAATAAATCGTGGGTTTATTCATATAATAGACCTAATGCATACACCCGTTACCTACATACAAAATTGACGTACGTAGGCACTCTGAAACTTCATGACTACTTGCACAAGACTTAGGGCTAAGCTGATACAGCCCAGAATCACACTCATTCATAACCACCAATACGTACAAGTTATTGTATCTAGATTGAATTCGCACCACCCTCATATTTTGGAGAAGGGAGGAAACTCATTTCCATTGGTTCTGCTTCATCGGGTGATCGACGTGACCATCTGTGTAAGATGTCACTACCTGCAATCATGGAAGCGCTCCTATAGCAGGGTACGAATTCAAACCGGAAACAGTATCCGTCATTTACAACGCCACCTATTGATCCTGGAAGCAATCAAATGCGCCCGGCAGGAGGACAGCGAAAACGAGGAAGAGTGAGCCGTTCGTGGCCTAAATGTTAACAAAAATACTCTCACTCTCGGGCAAAATATTGTATTCATCGTTTCACCCTTCGTGCACCACCAAAAATTGAATTGCTCTAAATTTCGTAAATTCCACAGAAATGTGTAAATACATGCAGTTTTTATGAGCTCAGATCGTCTCCGTTTTAATGTCAAACGAGACGTGTTCCATTCAGCGGTCGAAGCAGTTTGGAAGTGCTGGTTGTTGTAGCTGCAGGAAGAGGAGATGAGACGACGACTGACGACACAGCCTATGGCAAATGAAAAAGTACGAGGCTAACATTTAATCTTCCCGATGCCAAAAACAAAAAAGGTGTTGTGGAATTTCGGAAAGTATCTATTTCTTTTTAAACAATTCATCTTCTCTCTTCTCAGGTGAATATGAGGTAAAATTTCATTTTCAATCAGGTTTCACTGTGGCAAATTTGCATGACCCTATTAGGGCCTTAGGAGTATGGCCCTTGAGCGGGAGGCACGAGGCTGCCAGACATAGTGATGTACTTCGGGTTGCCAGACTTTTCCCATGAATGGCCCAAATGTGGATGCCAATGCCAGAGATTCGCCAAGTATGCCGTATTAGGGCCATAACTGGCCCTTATCGATTTGGCTACCTAGGTTGTATACTGTAATTTATGTTCTGAATAAGTACCCTGCGAATTCTAAGGTTTGTAAGAGAACTAGAAATTATAATTGGGGAGAATGCGACATGCACAATAGGAACTGACACCCCTTTCCTAATTATTTTCGACATTTTTTTTTACAGATTGACATTATTCTGCTATAGTTTTATCTGTTAACTTAACGTTGACTCACCACAGTATCCTGGTACGTGCGAAAATACACACGTTCACCCCATCCACCAGGAGGGGGAAGGATGTATTCTTCGCAGTGCTGCATACATTTCCATCTTTTTATTACGGGATCATCATACTGCAGGCCTATGGCCAGATGGAATTGAGAGCGCAAAGTGGTAAAGGGCAAGGTCCCATTTTCGTCCAGTTCAACCAGGAGGGCATCCCCATGCGTGTCATCAAACACGTTGATGAATTGACACATGATACCTAGAAGTGGGCCAAGAGTTCAAATAACATTTATGTATATGTGATGGGCTTGAAATATGCCCGAGGGCATGAACCAGCTTTAAAAGGGGTCCGAAGCTGCACTGGAGTGAGGATTCCACGCCAGACAGTTACAAGGACAGTTGTGTTTGAGGATTCCAGACCGGGCGTACCTCCAGGACAGTTGTGCAGAAGACTAGCACTACGCGCCTTCCAAGACAAGCCTTCCCTTCTTGAGGGGCATACTGTAAATTTTGTCACCTTTTTCCCAGACCCGCGGTCCCGGTCAGTAAGACTGTGGACGTCGCCATGTTTATAACCAGAATTGTTTGGTTTTGAAATAGTTCATTTGTTAAGTCTCTAGTGAATGGTGTTTAATATTGCAACACACTCTGTGTAACTTTAATGAAACCTTTAAACGTATGTTATGAAATCGTGAAAGATCGGAAAGTTAAAATGGTGTGACAAGAGGATCGGGCAACCGGGGAGAAGAATCGAGGAAGCGGGGAGGAAGGTTTTCCGGGAGTGTGTTTTGGACCAGCGTGGAGGCAAGTGGCTTGGTGCTCGTCAGCCGTGTGGTGTGAACTCTGCTCTTCGATCTCCCAGCTAGACTCTACTCTTTGATCTCCCAGCTAGACTACAACTACATCTCTTCGGTCAGCTACGACAGAGACCCTTTTTATAGAACTTTCAAGTACAAGGGCGACCGGCCTATCCTCTCTGCAACCCAACACCCCAATATTTCATGCCTTTCCCTTCTTGCTCTACCCTCCCGGGGTAAAGAGCCCAGTTGCCTTATCGGCCGGACTCTCCCCCTAATCCTGTCAAGTTAGGGTTAGGTGATGTCTTTGTGATTTTTTATTATTTTGTGATCCACCTTTGTGATCTTTTACTTGGTGATCTTAAACTTTTACAACCTTTTTATAGAAAGTAATTTTAATATATTCTCAAAGAATCTAATTTTATACATCTTGAAAGAGTAAATTTAGAGTTATTTATGGGCATTTTTATCTCTATTTATTTGAGTTGTTTGTAAAGGGCCTATGATCCTTTAGTGAAGGGTTCCATAGCAACCCCAGGCCATGTAACTTGGACACTCCACCTGCCAGATACTCCAGGGATCTGAGCCTACACCCTCTCAGCTCCCACCAGCACTTCTACCCTTATGTCTTGATAAGGAAAACCACTAGGAAGGAAAGGAGCACTACATTGGCCTTCAATACTGGGGATCTTTAACGTCCCACATTCAGGCCAAGATGGGAGTGCTCTGTGCTCAGGGATCTCCCTTCCCAGGCACAACAGGGCTTCCACTCAGAAAATGAATGCTAGTTGGGGCTCAAACCAAGGTCCTTACCAAAGGATTCAAGCTCCTTACCAACTGAGTCACTCACCAGCCCTGATGCTTGATCAGCATAGGGAAAGATAACAATTTCTTTCATGAACCCCACTAAGAGATGTGTGAATTCACATCTTAGAAATTTGCAACACCCTTCACCTAAGGTTGTAAGGCTCATCTTCATATGTTCACAAACATGTATTGGTTCTTCCATTTTTCTGAATCTCTTTTTGAATTCTTTTTTTTTGGTGCTTACAAAAGATTCACTGCAACTCTTTATGAAAGCAGCAAATTGTGGGGGTAATATTTAAGAACTAGGATGTTAACTTTTAACACCTCTGATGTTGACTCCATAGATGTTTACTACAGCTGTCCTGCTGCTAAGTACCAACAATATTAAGGTATTACGATTCTAATACTTAAACGCCTCTGAGTTTTTACTTTCAAGAAAAGTATGATCCTATCAAGCAATACTAGAGGAAATAAAAACTTTGGCTTTAAAAATGATTTACTTTGAACTCATGAAAGATTTTAGTTGTGCATACAAACAAGTTCTCTTGAAGAACCATATTATTCTGAATCACCTTATTGTGCCACCTTTAACTTGTATGACCCTCTGCACTAAGCAGCTGTCTATGGTATACCAACACCAACAAGGTGAACTCATTCAAATAGTAGCTCATTAGAGAGTATAATGGATTCCTCACCTCTGGATCAACATTAAGTGGGATGCTCCTTGGGACCCCCTCATGACTTGGGCCAGTCCTAGGTTCTCCCACCCCTTCCTGGAAAGAATGCCATTAATCAGAGCAAATGGGCCAGCTGTGCTTGCAAATTAAAACCAAAACTGTAAAACACACCAACTCTGAGGTAAAACAGAAATGAAAAGAAATTCTTACAATGAGGCATTCTGGATCTAATAAATGCCAGCAATAGTGCAATTTGCTTCCAGTGAAATATAAAAAATAGGAGAAAATCAAGAAAAGTTTGGTCACCATACTTGCTCCATACAGCTTTTCAATCTCTTTTTCTTGCTGATTTGCTTTTAGCAGGTAATAATGTAGCATGAATAGGCTGTTATAAATATAAGCCAATTTGACTTCCAGTAAGGAACTTAGTTCTGATTGAGTCACTTGATGCATAGCATTCAGGGGTAATCACACTTATGTCTTCAAAGAATAAAACATCAATGATGATGCATTACTTGCATGTCCATGACTCATACCTCCATTAACACAATTAACACAGGGACTTTCTTGATTACCTTCTCATGGTACATACTTTTATTGGGTCACCAGGTCAGTGCTGCAAGACCTGAACTGTATCCAGAATGTCAAGCAATAATACCCAGAATTGCTAAATTCTGAGTATTATTGCAATATATTATTGCTATTCTGAGTATAATTACATGACCCATCTACAGCTTCCAACAACAATGCAGATTCTAATCCATCACCAATGTCTCCCTATAATTTCCAGACAGACTTGAAGTCTTTCACATGCCATGCAAGGCCTGACATACTTCCACCTGGAACCCAACTGACTCGTGCATCTAGAGGTGGACTGCTGTCCCTCTAGGAGCTTCACTATTCCTACTTTTCATAATCATAACCAATCTGGCATCACAGGAGGAACAAGACTTATTTTCATACTGGAACTCAAAAAATGACGTGAAATGTGAATCATATCTTCTATGGGAGAGTGAAAGTGCCTCCATATATAGTCCTGAAGGCTTCCAAAAACATGAGAATTCCCTATGATTGGGTGGCCAATCCACTCAAGGGGCTTAGCCTTCCATCATCATAGATGGTTTAAAGAGGTATTTTATTTTAGCAAACATTTTGCCCCTAAGTTACAAGCATTGACTAAGGAGGAGATTATAAAGTGTGATGGTTTCTCTCCACCAATCCCTTGATGAAGTGAAGGTCCTTATCTTAATCAAGGTCATGTATCTTGACCTGTAAACAGCAGCATATACTTTCTGCATCAGCATTTTAAGAAGCATATAGTTTTGGTAGGACACTTAATAAATATCCAAGTGTCACAAATGGTAGCTGACATTGATTCCATGGTGAGGTGAAGGTAAGAACACCTTTAACAAGGACTTCAACACATGCCTAACCCTGAAGCTTGAGAATGAATTAGTCATTGACCTGCTGGAGAGACGATGGAGGATCCTGGGTATGCATAAGGCTTTCAAATGCCTCTTCCTCCATGCTAGAATGGCCAGAGTCCACAGTAGACTCCACTACCTCAGGGCGGGGATCCACAAAGAACGTGATAGGCTCCAACTCATCCTGGCTAGAATCCACAAGTGGTTCCAGTGCACTATAGCTGGGATCCACAGCTGCTTCTGATTGTTCCTGCCTTTGAGTGGGAGCCCCATCTGGCTCCAATGTTTCCTGAACAGGATCCATAACTGGCTTTAACGCTTCCTCCTGGCCAAGATCCAAACCTGCCTCAACCAAATTCAGGTTGGGATCCCCATAAGGTTCCAACTCTTGGCTCAGATCTATTAAAAACTTCACTATATCTTGAACGACATCCAAAGCTGGCTCCTCCATTCCATTCTGAGAAGGAATTGATGCAGTCTGTTTCTCAGTAAGGTCATGGGATGCCTTCTTTCTCCAATGTTTTACCTAGTAAAATCCAAAAGAGACCCAGAAAAAGTAAGATATCTCCAGCACCATCAACAATAAAAACGAATTTAAATGTCGAAATGAACTCTAACCAAAATTTCTGATAAAACCCTGCTTGCTGTCACCACATTTGCAAGTATCTATGGGTTCTATGCATATGCTTCAACAGTTGGAAATTGCAGAGATTTTATAACATGAAATTCAGGATGTAAAGCAATGACCACTGACTCTCCCTAAAGCATCACCTTCTCATAGGCCAGACCACTATAATCATGTTAAAATTCCCAAAGATCTCATGCTTTCTTACATTTCATGAATTCAAGTTGAAACCACACAACAGATATAATATGAAGCTAAATGTAGACAAGGATGCATATTTCATGCCAAGGCATGCTGAAACATGCCTTGCTAAAATGTTCCAACAGAAAGCCCCTGATTGCTTCCTGCTACCTACACATGACATAATATCCTCTGGCTAAAGCTAAATGGGACAAGAGAATCCTTGGCATTAGTGTGTGACACATGGGTACAACCAACTGTGTCAGTCAGCAATGTTGCCTCCATGGTTTTTGTGATGTCACAGAAGAGTCAAGAAAAACTGGTGGTTCATTCATGTACATTTACTCATCATCCATCAAAGATCATATGCATCAAGTGACACTTCTTGGCAAGGTGATGTTGTGAAGCACAGAGCTAGAGCAATAGCAAAAATGGAATGGATACCTAGGTGCTTAGGAATATGATGTGAACTCAGAATTGGTTTAATGTGCCATCTCTAGATTTCTTTCCCACTGATGATTGTTTCAGGGAGGCTCCTGGCTAGGAGATGATGTCAATTGAAAGTTCCCTTGATCATTTTATTTTGGTTTTATTTCACCTTGGAATATATTGTTAGTGACCTGTTTCATGCTGTTAGGCACCTTTTCAGAGATGAATGAATAAGCTATCTAAGGGGATAGAACTTTTCCCAGCAAAGGCTTTGGTGCTAAAGCAAAACTTCTGCTAAGGAATAGCCTACAATGTGTCAAGAAGATTGCAATAAATAGCTAACCTTGCGTGAGACTTGCTTCTGAGCAGGCTTCTTCCTTGTTTTCTTTTTATCTACTTCCAAGTCATCTGGACGAGTTGACGTCTTCCTTTTGCGAGCTGTGACTTTGTGTTTCTCAGGAAGGTTCTCCTTGGTTTCCTCAACAAAGACTTGGTCAGATGGTCCATCTTGTTTAAATGCAGTCTGCTTTTTTGGAGCCACACTCATAGACTTCTTTCTGGTGTTCTCTTCAGAGATTTCCTGAGGACAAGACTTACTTGCTTGATGTGATACTTTCCTCTTGTGTGCAACGGCCTGGTGGATGTGAGACACTGGTGCAATGCTATCACAAGTTTGGGGAGCGAGATATTTGGGTTCCTTCATGTCAAAACCCTCTACTTCCATGGCTTGAAGAAGCTCAAGGAACTTCTTCTCGTGTCGGGGATCGATCTCTGCCTTTCCTGTGTACATGAGGTTGAGCAACTGCTTCATGAGATGCAATGGCACCCCACACATGTAGATGATGGGGTTGGGATTGGTTTCATTCTGAAGCATGTCCTCAAAATATCCAGATGTGGCACAGAGGACCAGCTTGTGAGCCTTCAAGGCCTGTCCATCACAAACCAATGTGATGTCAACAAAAGTTCCAATATTCCTGAACTGATGGAAGACATTGAAGGCATTTGCACATCGAGACTTCCACCCTTGACCCTGCTTGCTCACCTCACCTGCCATATGCAGCAGTTTGATGTACTTGCACTATGGATGAATCCTGGAACAATCGCTTATTCCAAACCTGCAGATATGAAAACATGTAAAGCACCACGTGCTGAAGTGACAAAATACTCAGCTATAGAGAATGATACAATCAAGGAAGCTGTCAGCAGAAGAATGTCTGGTCTCTTTAAACTTTTTAAAATTTTTTGTTAACTTCCATTGAAAAAGTTGTCATAGTATTCTTTTTACATCCAGTGTTCAATTTCATGGTGCTAAACTCCAGGAAACAAGGACTTGCACAGGTGTACTAGGTCAGATTTCATTATTGCCTCACACCCTTCTGTTCTGCTTCCTGGATGAGTGGAATTAGGGCGAAGCCTTCTATCTATTTCACAATGAAAACTGATACTGGCTGAACTGGGAATCGCAAAGTGCATACATATATGCGGGACCAGTGGCGCAACTGCATAGCTCAAAGTATGTCGAATATTAAAAACACAAATAAGAAACTAAATCATCAGCCGAAGTCGTAACCTTAGGCCTCGTACTTGCTTCCCACATCACCGGAGGTGGAAGTTTACGGATAGGTTTTAACTCCGTCTAACTTTGACCCTACTCAGACCTGAACTCTTCACTAAAGATTCCTGACAGGTCCTCTGCTTAGCCTACGCCTAAGGCTCACAGGTGAGCTGAATACTTGTCTGCATTCGGCATTGCTTATCATATCCCTTTAACCTTTATTGTTATCAAGGAACACAGAAAAGGCTACTCTGCGGACAAGCTGCATCAAAATGACTGCAATTACGAAACGAGAGTTAAGAATGCATGGAGTCATGAAATCTGAAGCAATGGTCATGCACTTCCGGTTCCTATCCAGAGTTGCTGCCAGGGTTGCCAACATGTTTGACTTGAAGCAGACATTCTAATCATTTTTAAAAGGTACCAGCCCATTGTAGCAATGATAACTCTAATCACTGTGTCGAACTTTCCATGTAGTGAAGATGGGAAATGATTTCGAAAGATGGAAAGGGCGGAACAAGGACACGTAATTCTCGCTACTGTTTGGCTCTTGAGCAACACTGCCCGAGAAGCCGTTGCAAGAATTTTCCGGTTCTGGCGCAGCGCGGGAGACAGCGTGTGTCATGTGCGGAGAAATCCCCAAGACAGGTGTTCGCCGTTTATAGGTTGGGCCTGAGTCATATGAGTTTCTTCCGCTTCGGAGACAACGGAGGTTTGTCATGAACTAAAATTTTGTAGCCGGGAATATACTCCGCAACCGGATCCAAGGTGCTTGAATATTGAGACTACAATCAAGACTAACCGACCCGTGGAAGACTTCCACAAACTTGGGGGGGACCTAGGCCAGGGTGTCAAACTGCCAGTCGATTTTGTCCGGCCCGCAATATCCTCTTCAACAGTTGGTTTTGGCATGGACTTTTTCAACCTGTTAGGAATTGAAACTTTGGTGTAAGATTTGCTAATGTGGACCCAAAAACTCCTGAAGGGTTCCACCCGGCCCATCCTCAATCAAGTTTGGCATCTCTGGTCTAGACTAAGCGTGTGACATTGTCGGAAACCCACGAGTTCAGTCAGCCGCTCTCTCCCGTTCTCGAGGACGGATCTGGCAGTCGCGAAGGCTCCGAAGAGACTGCGAGATTGAGAGTGAGACGGAGACTCCCACCTGTGGAGGACATCCACGATCCACGGTCGGCCTAGGCTAAGCGTGTAGCATTTTCTGGTATTCACGAATCCAGTCACCTCTACGCAGCAGCCGCTCGGACATTGTACCTCTTGCGCATCCCCCCCCCCCCCAACTCACGTGGGTGTTCAAGCCTACGATACGAACTTTTATTGAGCGGCTTTCTTATCCCGTATTGATCGCGACCCTATCTTATCGTTCGTAAAGTCCATCTGCACCACTTTTCATGTAGGCCAATGAGTGAAAAATATGCCAAGAAACGGGATTGTTACTATGCGGCCGAAGGCGTCTAACCGATCCAAGGGTAAACCGGGGTAAACGCTCCTGTTCTATCCCATCCAGAAGGAATCCCGCTGCTTTCACCCTCGGGAGTCACTCTCCTTACGCCAGTGCCGATCAATATTAGGACGGGATTCTGATCGATAAAGGGGCCGAGATCCTGATAGATATAGGGGGGGGGGGGTTCTCATCCTGGCGAGGAATTCATCCTCCAGCGAGGTGAAAGGGGACTGCATGTGCTCTGAACGGGGACGTTATACACCTCCCCGCTACAGAGTCCGCCTCGGGGTGCAAACACCCCCTTAGTAGGGGGAAGGCGGCGAGTGCGCAAGACGTACAATGCCTCTCTTTCCCGTTCTCCAATAGGGATCGGGCAGCCTCAACGGCTGGAAAGAAAGTGCAAGATCGAGAGAGCGAGACAGACACCCAGAGCATAGAGTAGAGCAGTGGTCGGCAACTAAATTTCACGGCGGGCCGGATGGCAGAATGCTGAACGTTCGCGAGCCGGCGCCTACCAAGTGTCATTAAAATGAAAATTTTATCGAACGTCTCATTTCAAACGTGCGGCTGAACGTCTATTGTCAGATCGTAACATCCGATATTCGGGTCTTCGCAGGCCAGAGGGAGGGCTTCCGCGGGCCGGATCCGGCCCGAGGGCCGCCAGTTGCCGACCACTGGAGTAGAGAGGTGTAACTAGAGGCGACCCTCTGAGGGGTAGGGGAGGGGGGAGGGGGGGGGTCAAAATATTACAGAGACATCTGGTGGTTTGTTATCAACAATTCCATGAGGCGTGCTTCGTAGCAGTGGAATCAGGAATCGACTCGTTCGGGGATTCGACCCAAAGGGATCACTCAGCGTAACGTGCGTGTCTCGTTGAGTCCGCTGCTCGGTCGAGGAGGAGTTGATGTACGTCCCCAAGGTAGAGGATCGACAGCGACATCTATATTCGACCCTGTCAATGAATACGGTTCGAGCGGAGTGGAAGCCTCTAGTTATTCTCTATTCTACGCTCGGAGCCGGGCAGAAGGCGCCCGGCTTTGGACATTCATATGGAATGGGCAGGTATAGAAGCAAAGAGTGAATCAGATTTTCAACACGAACTTCAAGGGAACATTATGATGCGTATGTTTCTCCTGAATTAGGGTTCTCACAGCAAAGTTTTTTGTTCCGAAAGTCTCTATTCTATTGGCATCTGCAGCTAAGAGACTTCAAAGTTAATTGCCTCTGCTGAAAAAGGTGCCCTAATTATTGTACCTCCAAGTAAAGATAAGGAAGTAAAAAAAGACGCCCTATAGAAACTCACGAAAGCCTTCTTCTTTGTTAGACAATGAGATAGATACAACTGATAGGATTCAGACGCCAAGAATGATTGAGATGTGGGCTCTCGACGTAGTAGACCACCGCTGGAGAACAATGGAAGGACGAAAAATGCCAAACATTCAGCTGCATAATGGTCCCAGTAATGTCAACAGGCGGAAGTCCTCACAGTCGGGTGACGTCAAGTCCTCTCGATTGTCGGCGGAATTCTTCGACCAGGATCAACATTATCCGTTATGCTTGGTGCGTGATGGAACACAAGACGGTATTGGGCATTTTTCTTGTGCAAGAACTTCTTGTGATTGCTCGTTCTTTTTGCCTGGGTGATGGAGCGTGTGAACGGAAATGGGATTTCCAAGGGGAAGTAATTCGGGTGGGAACATTACCTTACCCACCATGGATTTACTGGGAGAAAGAAATTCCACGCATGGAAGAATTGAAAGGGCTGGAGGGACTCATTCTACAGGAACTCTCGAGGAGGCTTAACTTCTCTGTGGAGTTCATTCGGCCCGAAGACGGATCCTGGGGTGAAATGACGGAGAACGGGACGTTTACAGGTCTCCTGGCCCTCGTGAATGATGGAGTCGTTCAGCTGGCAATGTCTGGTATTCCGCATTCTTGGGATGGGTTTCATTACGCGAACATAGACCACACCGTTTCGGTTTTCTCCGATTGCCTGCGGTTCATCACTCGTCCTCCGCGCCCTTATCCTGCATGGATGGGTGTCATACAGCCCTGGAATTGGACGATGTGGGCAGCCGTGATCGGATTCCTTTCCTTGACGAGCCTTCTTCTCGGTCACCTCTTTGTGAGAGTTGGAATCTTTAATTCTCTCCTCCTCATCACCCGCATTCTTACAAATCAAAGCATCGACATCAAGCTGTTCAACGGCAAGGCCAGTCGAATCCTCCTTGCATTCATATTATGTTGCGCGACGATTTTGACGACATCGTACTCGAGCAACCTGGTGTCAATTTTTACCCTTCCTCGCTTGAAGCCTTTACCCGAATCCCTGGAGGATCTCGTGAAATCCGATTACCGATGGGGGAGCGTGGATTACAAGGCTGGGTTGAGAAAGCAGTTTCAGGAATCGAACATCTCCGACTTGATAACCTTAGGAAATATGATGACCTGGTTTTTCTACGATAAATCCTGGGACGACTTGCATCCCCTAGACAGTATCATGAACGAATCTTTCGCCTTCATCGATACGCAAAGCCTCCTCTGGTCTTTAGGATTCGATCAACGAGATGGATACGTCATTAGTCCATTCCCGTTTCTCTGCAAACCTGTTACCTGGGTGATTAAGAAGAAATTAACCCGATCGAAAGAACCTTTGGATTGCTACCTGCAAAGAATGTTGGAAGTTGGCTTGATTGAGAAGTGGTGGAAGATGGCATCGGAAGACTCTCTCCGTGTGAAGGCCGATATGAACCGCACCAACACGACCTGGATGGAAGGAGATCGGAAGGGTCCTCAGCCTCTCTCTTTGACCCATCTCCAGAGCCCGTTTCTCTTCTTCGTCGCCGGGATGCTCCTCTCCTCCTTCGTGTTCGCCTTGGAACTGCTACTCCCTCGATTGTGTGGCTCTCGCTTGCGCGAAAGGCGTCGGAAAGAACGACTACTGGGCCCTAAGTACGAGTCTATTAAGAAGCAGTGCCATGTTTTGCGGACGTAGAGGTTCATTTCTTGAAAGACGCATTTCTGATAACATTTCGTGATGCAGAAAAGAAATTCATTTTAGCATTCTTGTTTCTGGATAATGTTGTATCGGTTGTGCGCATAAGTAAATTGCAAAAAAAGTGCAATTTTACGGCGCGTGCCTTCTGCAATGAATCCCCTTGAGAATATTTGCTTTTAACATGAAAGGTGAAGAGCTTTAGTGTTTGTCTATGGTTGCTACCAGGTGCTTGCGGTAGAAATGTTTTTTTTTTTTAGTCCGATCTTTTCGAAATTTCGGAGGAAACATGAAGAGATACCATCTATAATACTCGTACAAAATCCCGATACCTTCAGCTCTTAAAAAAAGTGCGTGGGATTCCTCCAATTCATTTCAAAGGCATCCATATGTCCTCTCCAATACTCCACTTCTTCGTTAAGATGGGAATTTCACCTATCCCACCGTTCAAATTTTACTACCGAACGTACGGGCTAACGCCATATCTAAAGGAACTCAGTTTGTAATACACATAAGAGCAATTATTTATTGTGGGGAAACGTAGGAGAAGAATTAGAATGTAGACTTTTCCATGAGAGACTTCAAAGTTAATTGGCCCTGTCGAGAAAAGTGCCCTAATTAGGGAGGCTACGTAATATTTAAAATATATTTTGAAGACTTTAAGAGTAATGATTCTGTGAAGACAATTTTAATGTAACGTTCTTCAATGATAATCAACATACATGAAGTGCTATAAATAAGGACGTTGAGAATGTGTCTTTCACGTGCTCAGCGTCGTTCATGAAGAAAGGAAGTTCTTGGTTTAAAACGAAAAACCAACAAGCAAAGTTGAGAGCTTGTTTAATTTTTCATGTTATTAAATTTTGAAGTTCATATGGAATGGGCGAGTATAGAAGCAAAGAGTGAATCCGATTTTCAAGGTGAGCTTCAGAACGAATATCGTGAAGCCTACGATTCTCCTGAAATGGGGATCTTACAGCGAGATTCATCCCGAAAGTCTATTTTCCATTGAAATCTGC